AACTCAGCAGGAGAAGAAAGAAGAGGCCCCATAATTTTTAAATTAAAATTTTAAATTTCCAAATTGTAATTTAAAAAAATTAAAAGTGAAATTTTAAATTGTTAAAATTCTTTTAAATTTTTCTTTAAATACATCACATTTAGGTTGTGCATATGATATTGTAATTTGAAGGTATAATTTTAATTTTTTACTTGTTTATGTCACAACTATTAGCAGTACATTCAGTGATATATGGGAATTACGATTTATGAGTAAATTTAGTGCAAAAAAGCATTGCTAAGGATTCTGTTTGGTGTGATATGGCAGGAGGTCAATGGGGTGTGTGTGACACCATGAGTTCCTGCACTGGGTGACACCAGCCCTAGGGAAGCCACCACTTTGGGATGGGTTGGATAGGAAATTAACTGGATTGCCTTCTGTCAAATTTTAATCCCAGTAGTTATTTCTGTGCAAATATCCACATGCAAATTCAATTCAATTTTTAAAATTTTGTCCCTTTCTGCAAATGTGCATGTGATCTCTCCACTCTATAGAGGGCAGTCTGGTACTCAGAGGGTATCAAAGCAGAGTCCATTATCTGAAATATTCTCTGTTTCAAGGGCAGACAACTCATGGCAATCTAAACATTTTTGGACATCAGCTCCTATCATCACTCACCATAATTATGCTGGTTAAGGCTGCTAAGAGTCACATTCCATCAACAACTGGAAGGTGCCAACTTGCATACCTCAGGACTATTGAATCCATGTTCAGAGTAAAGATAGAAAAACACGAGTAAGGAAAAGAAGAATATTGAAGTGCTCATCAACACTTATGTCAGGGACAGCCAGGTGGAGGACTTGGAGGACTCTGAGGGGGAGGATGTGGGGCCTGATCCTAGCTTGGTGCTACCAGCCCCCATAGACCTAGCTGAACCTGGACCTAGCTGTGTGGAACCCATTGAGCAACAGCCCCTGCCTCAGCAGCCTAGCCTCCCTCCTCAGCAGCCTAGCCTTCCTCCAGCAGAAAGCCTTTCCCCAGCAGAGGTTTCAGGCCAGGAAGAAGCAGAGGAGCAAGAGCTTGAAATCCCTACCTTTGCTCAGAGGAGAACAGATAGGGAGGGGCTGCGGCGTTCTCGAAGGCTAGCTGAGAAACGCGCAGCTAAAGAGAAACACCTGGGGGAGAGGAGCTGAGGCTAGATAAGCAGCTGGGAAAAGCCAAGCTCTCTGTCAAGGCTTATCTTGGATTCCCCGGTGAAAGCTCTTGGCTCTCGGGTTGACTTTAGACTGCTTACACCCTATGACCTTTGGAACGGCTCTGGACTACCTGCTTGCGATAACCCTGAACTTTGGAGTGCTCTCTGGACCTGACTTTCAGAACTCTGTTGGTTGCCTGCTACAAACAGTGGTACGTCATTTGCAACTGGGTTGCTGTCTGGGAAGAGGCCTCTGTCTTATCAGCCACGTGTTGGCAGCTTTCCCGGACAACTTATGACCTGGACAGCATGTTGAACAGCCATGTAGATCACCTGATAAATCCTCCCTATGATGTGGTGGTGTACTATACAGTACAGCCCCTGCATCCATGGAGCCAAAATCTGGTTTCACTTACCCACATCTGAAAAGATATGGCCTCTCTAGGCATCTGGAGGTCTCCAGCATTACTCTGAGGTCAACTTCTGCCGGAAATATAAGGTTTGCTATTATCCACAATTTTCACTATCCATAGTAAATGTGAGACTGTATTCCCCATGGATTTTGGGGTTGTACTGTACTTGTATTTAAACTATGATAATTTCTCTGAGTCTCCACATACACATACATTTGGATGTGCAAATTATAGGCAAAGTTGTGCCCTCTTTTGTCTTCTGATGGTGGGTTCCCCCCCCTTTTTTTTGGCAAGGTATAAATGGCCATCCTACAAAGAGATGGGTTTTAGCCCAGCCTTCACATATCCAAACTGATTTTTTTAAAAACCCAGAGTCCTATATTTTGTTCCCGTTCTTTCCAGTTTCATTTTTGAGATTTATACACATTTTGTTTATTCCTGAATATTTTCTGTCAGCTCGCGGTATGAGCAGAGATCGTGTAATACCAGCTCCCCAGTATAAAATCAGAAGGAACAGGAACAAAATCTGAGATTTTTCAATTAGTTTGGATGCGCTCACAGTTGTTTTCTAATGTTTTCTATTGTAGGAACATCGATGATCTAAATCTCAACCTATAGTCTGCCCAGATGCAACTTTACTGCCATAGAGAATCAAACCTTACAAGGGAAACATTGCAGCAGTACAGGGAGATCTCTGTGCCCATGACAAAATTCTGTGTCGAATTTGTCTTTCCCATTAGTGCTAACCATCAGTTGTCCATTTACCAGCTGTCTAGACAGTCTTTACAAAATACATTTCTCCTTTACATCCTCCTGTACTGTAATGATTCTACCATTTTTCTGTCTAATCCCCACTGATGTTGCATCTGAGCCATATGCTTGAATGACTTTAATGGATCACTACATGTTGTTTTTTATTGGGTCCTGCTAAATTAAAAGCTCTGGTTTTGTTCACATCTGGAGGCGGGAATGGATTATTTTTGCCTTGTATTAATCAACATTCCACATGCCGTATTTTACTGTGTTGTCTTTCACTTCCTGAATCTGATTGCAATAACTGGTATGGAAAATGTAAAGAGAAACAAGCAATTCATGGCCTTTGGACTTCTGGAGGTGGCTGACTATTATAGTTTTTTGCTTTGCAGAACTATACCAGAATCCTGGAAAGTTCATATCTCTGTATTTTAATTATCTATATTAATTTATCTAATTATCCAATATATAACAGAACAGTATATATAGTTCATGCAGTATCACCTAGCATTTGTTTTAAAGGAAAGGTTTAGATTTACTTTCATACACCTTCTTTCTTTCCTTTCTCTATTTCACCCTTTCATTTCTCTCTTTCACATTTTTTCTCTCCAGTTGCTATGTCTTCCTCAATCTTACCCTCTGCGCCACACTAGCAATAAAGCTTTTTTGGGGGAAAGCACCCATTTATAGTGTGATTCACACATATTTTATTGTAAACATAATTGCCATGCAGATGTGTTTCTTAGGATGACAGGCCATAGGGTGGATTTGGCTTACAGGCTAGAAGTTCCCCATTTTTAGCTTAGATGAGCTTACTCCCTTTAGCTGAATGGGGTGAAAACAGGATCCAGTCTCCAAGATACAATGGTTGTTTCCTTCAACCAGAGGGACAGACTGCCAACTAACCACCACCACCCCTCACCATTAGTTTTCCCTGGAAATATCAACCAACTGTTCTGATTTATCAACAACCATTCTCCCTAACAAAAGAAGTGGTCCAGTTTTAAAGATAAAGTTACTGTTGGTGGAGAACCTGAATCCCACTTCAACTTTGCAGGAAATTGTTCCTCTAATTCAGCCTTCCTCAACTTTTTTACCCTAGAGGAACTCTTGGAATAATTTCCAGGGAATCCTACATAGTAATTAAATCTGCAGTTCAAATAAAGTTTATTTTTCCAATCACAATTT